TTTGCCAAGGTCTCATTCTGTCACCTCTTCTGTTTGTGTTCAATAGGAAAGTGAGGCGTAGCCAGGGCAAAGAGGGTATCAGCGAAAGAGATGCACAGACAAAAATATCGCTGTTTCTTTTGTTGACACGTTCTGAGGGTGGTCTCGACGGCGTTTTGGAAATATTAACAACTGAGTGCGACGTGGCCGGCAACTGTGTGTAGAACCAAACGCCTAATGCCAGCTGTGCTTCGAGAAGAGCAGTGGCAAGTGGAGAAGTTTACTTATCTGAAGGTTGTGTTTACTGATTATGGGAGGATGAGATCGTCCGGCGAATAGGAATGTCGAACGCTCTGCGTCAACAAACCTGAAGCGTAAGGTTTGTAAGGCAGAGCGGAGTCTGAAAATGAAACTGTGTTCAAGTCGATTTTCATTCCTATGCTCACCTATGGTCATGAGTTATTGACCCTGATTGCGAGCCTGAGAACGAGCGGGAAAAATGAGCTTCTTGAAAAAAATTGCTGTACTCACACGTTTCTACAGAGTTCAGATATCAGATGTTCGATAAAGCCGTGGTATACGGTGGCTGCTTCTCCAGATTGGGAGGTCAGAATGGGCAAGTTTAACAAATTTTTATAGAAAGCGGGCTAAACAGCTACTAAATGTTGCATTGACGGGCCAAAGTCAAGAATGACCTGAGTCTAGCGGATTACTGCGAACGTTGGATATGTAGTTCAAAGCTGCTGCTTCCGCATACGAAAGAGAAAACGGCTCTCGAAACGGCTGACTGACATTCAGTTCAGCCTAGTGGGGGGGGGGCTGTTTCCTAGAAGATTATTTCACATGACCAACGAATCACGATGATAATCACTGACTAACACATTAAGGTAACAAGCTAAAAAGCATAAAAACCTGTGGAACAGAAAAGAGGGTGGGCGTATAAATGCAGGATATGTTTTGAACGGTCATTTTGTTAGTGGAAGAACGCTGCGTCACTGCCTTGAAATGATGGATCATCTTGCGAAGCGTAACGTAGTTTATTCGCGGAAGCTGCTGCAGCAGTTTCTGATAGCGTTCTAGCCGATCTGCATCTCTTTTCAGGTCTGAAACAGAAGAAGGCAAAGTTAAAAACCTAATAATACATTTGTTGGCTGATACGCATGTCAAGTTTAGATACTAGCTGGCATGGCAGTGTCATCATCACGGTGTAGGGATTGTATTCGCCACAGAACGTGAATTCCATTATTAAGCGCTGAACCGAAGATACGGAGGTTGTAGTGCAGTCAACAAAAAATGGTAGCAAGTCGATGACCCGTCAATTACTGGGGCGATTTCGGTTCTGCTGTTTTACCGAATCAAGGTCAGATGTGCCGGTTTACATCCACAGACAGTGACGGACAGTGAAACAAATGCATACCACAGATGCTCAGTGATATTATATATCAGGCAGAGGTGCATCACATGCTTCACCCACCTTGTTCATGAGCTTCGTTCGATAAATGATGCCAGAATAAATTCACCTCCTGATATGAGAGTTAAAACAGCTAACAATCTGTTGGGATTGATAGTCGAAGAGTTTTAACTGTAGGCACATCCCCATTAAAGACAACTGTACGAATTCAGGTTATTACAAGTTTGTTAGGCGAGTTTCAGCGCTCATGACAGACCTCTATCAATACCGCGGAGAAAGAAGCTCAAGATGGCATACTCCAATATACTTCTTCGTCACTTAATCGTTGCCCGCTCCGCTTAACGGGAACGCTGAGGATGACATATGAAAGATAGCTGCAGATAAAGCCTACAAAGGAGACAATCCTGGTTGAAAGCGTAGAAGCAAAATCATTACTAAAAAACGTAAAAAGGGAAAG